AACACCCCAACCAAGCAGCTGCACCAGTCTGGCCAAAGGCTGCAGGCCTAACCGCAGGGCCCTTTGATTTCCACCTCCTCCAGGAAGCCCCCCCGGGCTAACACACCGGGATGAAGCTGAGCAGTCCTCCCCAGCCACACACTGAGCTCCCTCCTCCCACACGGTGGATGCTCCCAGGTCGCCACGGGGGGATTGGTTTGACAGTGATTCCAGGTGGGGTTCTGGGGTAGAACAGGTGGGGCAGGGCCCGGTGAGGACGACCCGGGCAAACAGGTGCCTCTGTTGACACAGCAGCCCCAAACACGTCTGGGCTCGGGCCGTCCAGGTGTTGCTGAGCTCGAGACACCTCCAGCCCCGCTTCCTGGCCTTGATGCCAAGAGCTCCTGGGGGTACAGAACTGGTCCCTGATCCGGCACTGCTTCTGCTGGGAACTGGGGGCAGGAGCTGGTGATCCAGAGACGAGCAGATTCTGGCTCAGGGGAAGGGGCTTGTCCAGGACCACCCGGCCACACACTGCGGCCGATGGGCAGAGGTCCCCGCCACCACCCGGGCAGCAGGCAGACTGAGCTGCACTGGCCGTCAGGGGCACGCCCTCCCGCTCCAGAGCCATCCTGAGAGGAAAGACGCTCCCGCCTTCTCTGTAGGCACGTCCAGGCTTCTAGCTAATCTCACAGTTGGAATGGGTTTGAATTCTTCTCTGAGACTCTAGGCATATGAAATGATACGGTTTTGTTCTGTAAACATATTGCAAAAATAAAAAGATGGACCTGGGTGTAGTGGCTCACGCCTGTAATCCCAGCACTGTGGGAGGCTGAGGTGGGCGGATCACAAGGTCAGGAGTTCAAGACCAGCATGGCCAGCATGGTGAAACCCCGTCTCTGCTGAAAACACAAAAATTAGCTGGGCGGGATGGCACGTGCCTGTAGTCCCAGTTACTTGGGAGGCTGAGGCAGAAGAATCATTTGAACTCGGGAGGCAGAGGTTGCAGTGAGCCGAGATCACACCACCACACTCCAGTGTGGTGACAGAACAAAACTCTCCCTAAAAAAATAATTAAAATTAAAAAATAGATGAAAAAAAAAAAAACACACACACACACAAAGAAATGACATGTTTTATTTTATTTATTTTTTTCTGAGATGGTGCCTTGCTCTGTCGCCCAGACTGGAGTGCAGTGGCACAATCTCAGCTCACTGCAACCTCCACCTCCCAGGTTCAAGCAATTCTCCTGCCTCAGACTCCCTAGTAGCTGGGACTACAGGTGCCCACCACCACACCCAACTAATTATTGTATTTTTTTTTTTTTTAAGACAGGGTTTCACCATGTTGGCCAGGCTGGTCTCGAACTCCTGACCTCAGGTGATCTGCCCACCTCGGCCTCCCAAAGTGCTGGGATTATAGGCGTGAGCCAGCGCACCTGGCCTTGTTTTCTGGAAAAAAAAAAAAAAAAAAAAAAAGCCAGGCATGATGACATCCACCTGTAGTCCCAGCTACTTGAGAGACTGAGGCGGGAGGATCCCCTGAGCCCAGGAGGTCGAGGCTGCAGTGAGCTGTGATTGCGCCACTGCACGCCAGCCTGGTCTTTTGAACAAGACCTTGCCTCAAACAAACAAACAAAAAAACGAACCTGCTTCAGGCCTCAACTTCCCTGAGTTGAGAGAAATCCAAGCTCAGTGTTGCTGCAAAGAGCCTCCTGCCTTCCCTGCAGGCCCACCAGGAGATGGGGCTGCCAAACGCTGGAGCTGAGCCTGGAGTCTTCGGGGGTCCCGTTGCTTTGGGGTGCTCCTTGTCAAGCCTTCTTGGAGAGGGGTTAGTGTAATCGCCTGAAGGTTTCTTCTGCCAGCTGCACCGACAGGATCGATTCCCTGAGACCACAGCGTTACACTCAAGACTTTAACTGGCTTGAGGACGGCCACGCCACTCAGGAGATGGAGTTAGGAGCACATCAGTCTCCACAGAGGCTCCGCGGTGAGGGCATTTTCAAAGATACTGTCATGGGGCTGCTCTGTCTATGGAGTAGCCATTTATTTTTTATTTTTGTGATGGGGACGGAGTTTGCTCTTATTGTCCAGGCTGGAGTGCAATGGTGCGATCTCGGCTCTTCGCAACCTCTGCCTCCCGGGTTGAAGTGATTCTCCTGCCTCAGCGTCTGGAGTAGCCATTCTCTTCCTCTTCTACCTTCCTAATAAACTTGCTCTCACTTTCCTCTCTGGACCCGCCCTGATTCTCGCGGGAGATCGGAGAGAACCCTCTCTCGGGGTCCGGACCAGGACCCCTTCCCTGTAACATTTTCTGGTGAACCACAGAAGGGACTATAGTGTGGAAACCCCCTTCCCAAAGGCTAACTTTGGGTAAAGGTTGGGGTCCTGTAACATCTTTATGGTGAGCCCTGAAAGGATGATACTGAGGAGACCCCAGACCTAAAGGAAATAGCAGCACTGATTGGATGACTCTGGGTAAGTGGTGGGTTGTGGGTAAAGAATGGGGTTGGGTTAGAGGCTCAATTTAGGGGAGTTAGAGTCTCTCAAGACGGAGGGGGGCCTGGTAGCGCAGGCCTGTAATCCCAGTCTTCTGGGAGGCCGAGGCAGGTGGATCACTTGAGGTCAGGAGTTCGAGACCAGCCTGGCCAACATGGTAAAACCCTGTCTCTACTAAAAATACAAAAATTAGCCAGGCTTGGTGCTACCTGACTGTAGTCCCAGCTATGCAGGAGGCTGAGGCAGGAGAATCGTTTGAACCCCAGAGGCGGAGGTTGAAGTGAGCTGAGAGATCATGCCACTGCATGCCAGCCCGGGTGACAAAGGCTCAAAAAAAAAAAAAAAAAAGGTCTGAGAGAGAGAAATTCACTCAGGAACGCAGGAAGACAGCCTGTATGGCTGGAAGCAGGGTGGAGTCAGCCATGTCAGCTTTCTCTCACTGCGGTAATTTCACAAAGGCGCTTTCATTAGTGGGTCCTTTTTTGTGGTCTGGTGAGGGCATGGAGGGCTTCCTGTAGGCCCACCATGTATGGTGGTAACTTACACCTGGAATTTGTACACTTTGGGAGGCTGAGGCCTTAAGATCGTTTGGGCCCAGGGGGTCAAGACCAGCCTGGGCAACATAGCAAGACCCCATCTCTACAAAAAATACAAAAATTAGCCAGGTGTGGTGGCATGCACCTGGGATCAGCTACTCAGGAAGCTGAGGTGGGAGAATCACTTGAGCCTGGGAGGTAGAAATAACCTCCCAATGGGTTCACCTTGCCCGCTGCCTAGACAGAGCAATAGAGAAAGAGTCATTCACACAGAACTGGCTGTGCAGGAGACAGGAGTTTTATTATTACTCAAGTGAGTCTCCCTGAGCGTTTGGAGATAGGAGGGTTTTTTTTTGTTTTTTTTGTTTTTTTTTTTTGAGACGAAGTCTCGCTCTGTTGCCAGGCTGAACTGCAGTGGCACGATATTGGCTCACTGCAACCTCCGCCTCCCGGGTTCAAGCAATTCTCCTGCCTCAGCCTCCCGAGTAGCTGGGGCTACAGGTGCGCACCACCATGCTCAGCTAATTTTTGTATTTTTAGTAGAGACGGGGTTTCACCGTGTTAGCCAGGATGGTCTCCATCTCCTGACCATGTGATCCACCCACCTCGGCCTCCCAAAGTGCTGGGATTACAGGCTTGAGCCACCGCGCCCGGCCTGGAGGTAGGAGTTTTTAAAGATAGCTTGGTGGGCAGAGGCTTGGGAAGTGGGAAGTTCTGATTGCTCACGCTGGAGATGGAATCACAGGGGATGGAAGGGAGTTTTTCTTCCTGTCTTTTGTTCCTGCGTGGGATGGCAGAACTGGTTGGGCCAGATTACGGGTCTGGGTGGGACCAGTTGATCCATTCATTGGCATCTGCAAAATATCTCAGGCACTGATCTTAGGCTTCACAATGTTATCCCTAACGGCAATGTGGGGAGGAGGTTCAGACAAGAGGTCAGAGGCTGCATGACCCCTAAACCATAACTTCTAAGATTTTTTTTTGAGACCGAGTTTTGTTCTGTCACCCAGGCTGGAGTGCAGTGGCATGATCTCAGCTCACTGCAACTTCTGCCTCCTGCCTCAGCAATTCTCTCTCCTCAGCCTCCTGAGTAGCTGGGATTACAGGTGCCCAACACCACGCCTGGCTGATGTTTGTGCTTTCAGTAAGAGACGGGGTTTCACCATGTTGGCCAGGCTGGTCTCAAACTCGTGACCTCGTGATTCTCCCGTCTCGGCCTCCCAAAGTGCTGGGATTACAGGCGTGAGCCACTGCGCCCGGCCAATTTCTAATTTTATAGCTAATGTATCAGTCCTGTAAAGGCAGACTGGTCCTCAGTCAAGGACGTCTTTTCTGGAAAGGAATGTTACCAATTTTGTTTGAGTCAAACCATGAACTGAAATCCTTCCCATAGTTAGTTCTGCCTTCGCCTAGGAATGAACAAGGACAGCTTAAGGGTTAGAAGCAGGATGGAGCCCCTCAGGTTTGATCTCCTTCACTGTCATCACTTCCTCAGAAGTTTTGCAAAGGAGGTTTCAGAGACCGCGCTGATGTGAGATCGCGCCACTGCGCTCCAGCCCGGGCGACGGAGCGAGTCCCTGTCTCATGAAAAGAACGAAAGGGGGAGAAAAGAAAGACGGGGGGCCGCAAGCCCAGGGGAGAAGCCTGCACAGAGGTGCGGGCGCCCAGCCCAGGGCAGGGGCGGGCAGGGCAGGGCTGAGGGCGCGGACCCCCACCCAGGTCCGGCGCACCTTCAGGCCGGCTGAGACTTCTCGGAGGCGAACTCAGACCTAACTCTCAGAGGACAATGCCCGCCCCGCGGCGCCCCGCCTCTCCTTGGCGACCAGGGACCGGGGTCTGGCTCCTAGCCGAAAGGGACAGAGAACTACATTTCCCGGCATGCCCTCGCGCTCTCCAGGGGCGCTAGAGTCTGCGACGGAAAGAGTGCTCCGCCGACAAACGTCATTTCCGCTGCGCGACTGGACCCACGTTCTGTAGTCGTGAGCGCCGGCCTGGTATGGCGTCCGGTTTCCGGTTTCCGGTTCGGGCGACGGAGGTGACGCAATCACGACGCGCCACGGCGCCGGGCGCGGAGTCTAGGCAACAATGAGCCGAGTCTTGTGTGCACCGGCGGCCGGGTGAGCTCCTCAAGGTCTCCGAGGGCCGAGGGCGGGCACCGGCGGGCGGGCGGAGCCCTTACTGTTATCTCTCTTCCAGGGCCGTCAGGGCGCTGAGGCTCATGGGTTGGGTTTCCCGAAGCCTTCATCCACTGCCCGGTTCTCGGGATCGGGCCCAACCCGCCGCCGTGGAAGAGGACGAGCCTGACCGCCCCATTAAGTTTTCCTCCAGCAAAGCTAACCCGCGCCTCTGGACGGTTGACCATTCCATGGGAAAGGGATATCAGCGGCCCTGGTGGCAGGTGCTGCCCATCAGCCTCTCCCTCATGGCTCTGGTCATCTGGTGCTTCCTGGGGCAGGAGACCGAGACGGACCAGTGGTTGAGGCGGGTGTTGGGAGAAGAGGTGCCAGAGCCCAGTGATCGCTCCGAGGGGCCTGAGACTCCAGCTGCCTCGGGAGCGAGAACTTGACGGGGTGCCCGCTGGGGCTGGCAGGAAGTGGGCCAGGAGCCGCCCTTCCGATTTGACCTTAACTGTCCTGGCTGTGCCTGCGTCCTCAGCCCTGAAGGGCTTCGATGGTGGATGGGGAATCCCAGCAGATCAGAACCTGCTCTTGCCTGGGGCTTGATGTCCAAGGATTCCATCCACAAGACTTTTCCGATCCTTAGGAGAGGTTTCAGTTGCACTGTGTGTTGTTGGATTTGTGATGTCTTTGTATAACATAATCATGTTTGCAAAGCAATTCTGGTGACACTTGTAATCCAGTGTTAGTTTGCAGGTAATTTGCTTTCTGAGATAGAATAGCAGAAGTGTTAAACTTTCTTATGTGCTCTGGCCTGTGTAAATAACACTTCTCCATGTTAGTTTTGCATAATAACAAATCGAAAATAAATTTTAATTTTATGATATGGGATTAGATGATTCCCTTTTTTTGCATCAAGTTTTTTAAAAGAGGGTATTTTAGCTGTCATTTTATCGTATTTTATTTTTTTGAGACAGAGTCTTGCCCTTGTTGCCCAGGCTGGAGTGCAATGGCACTGTCTCCTCTGACCGCAACTTCCGCCTCCCGGGTAGGTGGGATTACAGGCGCCCACCACCATGCCCGGTTAATTTTGTATTTTTCGTAGAGACGGGGTTTCTCCATGTTGGTTTCTCCAGGTTGGTCTCAAACTCCCAGCCTCAGGTGATCTGCCCGCTTCGGCCTCTCAACGTGCTGGGATTACAGTTGTGAGCCACCCCGCCCAGCCGAATTTTTTTCTTATTTACCACAGCACGTAAGTTGTACCAGCAGCTATTTTTGAAAGTTTTCTTCTCTTTTCTTTTTTCCAGAGTGGAAACTGAGGAAAGAAACCTACATATATATTACCAGATAGTACCAGAAATTAGGAACTTCTGCAGTTTTCTGCAAAACTTTTTAAGCAAGGCAACAATTTTCTGAGTAGAGTACGACTAATGAGTTTTGGTTTTTTTGCTTTTTTTTTTTGAAAATGATGGGCACTATTTTGGGTTACCTGAGTGATATTTTGTGTGTACGTATGTCTGTGTGTTTGAGACAGAGTCTCATTCTGTTACCCAGGCTGGAGTGCAGTGGCGCAGTTTTGGCTCACTGCTATCTCTGCCTCCTGGGTTCAAATGATTCTTCTGCCTCAGCTTCCGAAGTAGCTGAAACTACATGCTTGTGCCACCATGCCCGGCTAATTTTTATATTTTTAGTAGAGATGGTGTTTGGCATGTTGGCCAGGCTGAACTTGAACTCCTGACGTTAGGTGATCCACCTGCCTAGGCCTCCCAAAGTGCTGGGATTACAGGCAGGAGTTACTACACCAGGCCCGAGATTGTTTTCTTTCTTCTTTTCTCTTTTTTTTTTTTTGAGACGGAGTTTCGCTCTTGATACCCAGGCTGGAGTGCAATGGAGCGATCTCGGCTCACCGCAACCTCCGCCTCCTGGGTTCAGGCAATTCTCCTGCCTCATCCTCCTGAGTAGCTGGGATTACAGGCATGCGCCACCATGCCCAGCTAATTTTTTGTAGTTTTAGTAGAGACGGGGTTTCACCATGTTGACCAGGATGGTCTCGATCTCTTGACCTCGTGATCCACCCGCCTCGGCCTCCCAAAGTGCTGGGATTACAGGCTTGAGCCACCGCGCCCGGCCCTTCTTTTCTCTTTTTGAGATGGAGTCTTGCTCTGTCACCTAGGCTGGAGTGCAGTGGGGTGGTCTTGGCTCACTGCACCTTCCGCCTCCTAGGTTCAAGTGATTCTCCTGTCTCAGCCTCCCAGGTAGCTGGGATTACAGGCATGCGCCACCATGCCTGTCTAATTTTTGTATTTTTAGTAGAGACTGGATTTCGCCATGTTGGTGAGGCTGGTCTTGAACTCCTGACGTCAAGTGATCCACTCGCCTTGGCCTCTCAAAGTGCTGGAATTACAGGCGTGAGCCACTGTGCCTGGTTGATTGTTTTCATACATATATATACATACACCTGTTTTAAAGACACAGCAGGATAGTCACATTGATTTTTGATGAGACGTTATCCCACAGGCAGCAGATTCCAAGTGTCTCCAGGGCAGCGATCTGGGAGGGCTTTTCCAGTTGCTGACCTCACACTTGTGCTATGGACAGACCCAAGGCCAGCTGGGGACGGTGGGCAGATCTTCCCTATAGCTGGAGTTTTCAAAGGATGGCAACAGAGCAGATTGATAGGTGAACAGCTAACTCAGTACAGTTAGTATTATTATGATTATTATTTTGAGACGGAGTCTCGCTCTGTTGCCCAGGCTGGAGTGCAGTGGTGTGATCTCAGCTCACTGCAGCCTCCGCCTCCTGGATTCAAGCAATTCTCCTGCCCCAGCCTCTAAGTAGCTGGGATTACAGGCACATGCCACCATGCCCGGCTAATTTTTGTATTTTCAGTAGAGATGGGCTTTTGCCATTTTGGTCAGGCTAGTCTCGAACTCCTGACATCAGGCGATCTGACCACCTCGGCCTCCCAAAGTGCTGGGATTACAGGTAGGAGCCTCTGCGCCTGGCCATATTTAACTAGTTGTATAGTGTGTGTGTTCTGTTTTCCCAGTTGGGCTATAGCTTTTATTTTCCCCAGGGTACATGGCACACGGACCTCCCCAGATAAGCATTTGAGAGGTAGACCATTGTTAGCATGCTAGGACAGAAGAGACGGGGTTTCACCATGTTGGCCAGGTTGGTCTTGAACTGCTGACCTCAGGTAATCCACCCGCCTTGGCCTCTCAACGTGCTGGGATTACAAGCATGAGCCACCACACCCGGCCCTTTTTTTTTTTTTTTTTTTTTTTTTTTTAAGAGATGGGTTCTTGCTCTGTTGCCCAGGCTGGAGAGCAGTGGCTATTCACAGGTGAGATCCTACTACTGATCAGCACAGAAGTTTTGACCTGCTTGGTCCCCGCTCCCGGGAGGTCACCATATTGATGCTGAACTTAGTGTGGACAACCGATTGGCATAGCGTACTACAGCCCAGAACTCCTGGGCTCAAGTGATCCTCCCACCGCAGCCTCCCGAGTAGCTGGGACTACAGGCACGTGCCACTGCGCCTGGCAGCTGCAGTGATTCCTAAAATGACAAATGGCTGGGCAGGAAGAGGAATTTTTTTTTTTTTTGAGACGAAGTTTAACTCTGTGGCCAGGCTAGAGTGCAGTGGTGCGATCTCGGCTCACCACAACCGCTGCTTCCCAAGTTCAAGCGATTCTCCTGTCTCAGCCTCCCGAGTAACTGGGATTACAGGTGCACACCACTGTACCTGGCGAATTTTTTTGTATTTTCAGTAGAGATGGGGTTTCACCATGTTGGCCAGGCTGTTCCTGAACTTCTGACCTCAGGTAATCCACCTTCCTCGGCCTCCCAAATTGCTAGGATTACGGGCAAGAGCCACCACCTTGCCCAGGCAGAAATTGTGTTAAAAATTCTTTCAAGGAAGATATTAACCAGTTGGTCACATCTAAGCTGATGAAATGTCTTAGAAGGTCCTGCCAGTGGTGTGCATTTTGTCCCCAAGAAAAGTGAAATACTTCTACATTCACACTGGAAATCCTGGGGTTATTTTAAAATGTGTCTGGTACCACCCTAGATTTCAAAGACCATTTCTTCCAAAGCATGAAAAAAATGATACTTTGAATCGTTAAGTGTTACATTTACATCAGTTTCCTTTGATGTGTTCAAGAAAGAAGTCCCAAAGCCCCCAGGGTGAGGAGGAACAGCAGGAATCTCCGGTCATACCTCTACAGCAAAGATCCCCCAATTCCTTGAGTCCTCAAATCCTTTTCCTAGGGTTGCCAGGCCCCATAGACATCCCTGCTGGACTGCTCACGGGCTCCTTAAACTCCAAAATTTTAGGGCTACTGAGCCCCACAGGGTTGTGGGGTGTCCCTTACGTCGTGCTGAAGTGCAGGATCCAAGAAGTAAAGGGACGGTACGCTGAAGAACTGGTGAAGAGCATCTGGACTCTGGGTGCCACGCCACCTGTGAGCGGAGATTGGCGAGAGCCCAAATGCCCAGAAGCATCTGCATTTATTAGGTACAGGCAGGGGGCAGGGTCATGTGTGAGGTCATCATCTGTAGGCTTAGTGATAGGGCATACATAATCACATGAGTCACAAGCGAGGGGGCCGCCCCGTTAGGTCGCCTGCGCAGATAGGTGGACTGTGCTCAGTAGGGGCCGTGCTGTGTGCAGTAGAAGGTCGTGTACAGAAAAAGGGTCCACCCCCATTAGGTCACCGAGGCAAGGAGGTGGGCTGTGTGCAACAGGTGTCGTGCGCAACATTTCTTATCTGGGGGCTGGAGACGTCAAAGGATTTCTTTTTTTTTTAAGATGTGGTTTCACCATTATGGCCAGGCTGGTCTTGAACTCCTGGCCTCAGGTGATCCATCCACCTCGGCCTCCCAAAGTGCTAGGATTACAGGCGTGAGCCACAACGCCTGGCCTTCAAAGGATTTCTTTTTTTTTTTTTTTTTT